CCCGTGATGATCATATCGTCAACATAGAGCAACAAAATAATGATCCCAGATGAGAAGCGCCGACAAAACAAAGCAGAATCGTGATCACTCGTAGTAAAACCAAACTGAAACAATGTAGAACTGAACGTGGCATACCAAGCACGAGGCGCTTGTTTCAAACCATACAAAGCTCGACGTAGACGACAAACCTTGCCAGAGGAAAAGGACCCCGGAGGGGGAGTCATGTAAACCTCCTCAGATAAAGCACCATGCAAGAAGGCATTCTTGACATCTAACTGTAGAAGAGACCATCGACGAACAGCAACAACAGCAAGTAAACACCAAACAGTAGTAAGACGAGCAACCGCTGCAAAGGTCTCTTCATAATTGATGTTGTACTTCTATGAGTACCCCTTAGCAACCAGACGAGCTTTGTAGTGCTCAATAGAACCATCTGAATTTGTCTTGATATAAACCCATTTGCATTCGAGAGTTTCTTTCCAGTAGGTAGATCCACCAAATCCCAAGCATGAGTCTTCTCCAACGCCTGCAATTCCTCAACCATAGCTTGTTGCCACAATTGATCGGCACTCGCCCTACGAAAAGATCTAGGCTCATGATGAGATAGTATGGCCGAATAGCAATGATAGTCAAGTAAGTGAGAAGGGGGACGACTTACACGAGTTGATCGTCGGTGATCAATGGTAGGTGAAGGTACAGAGTCAGTTCATGATGTGTAGGTGGAGCCACTTCAGAAGAGGACTCAACAGGGAGCGTCAGTTCATGATGCGCAGGTGGAGCCACTTCAGAAGACGGAGGCATAACAAGCGTGCCAATGAACCGTGAGTCAGGACAAGTATCTGGAAAGAGATCCGAAGTAATGGACATGAAGAAAGGGGATGAAGAATCAAACGTTATGTGAAATTTAGACAAAGAAGAAAAAATAGTATGCTCCCAAAAGGCAACGTGACGCGAAATACGCAACCAATTAGAAATAGGATCCCAACACCTAAAACCCTTTGTGTTCTACCCTATAACCCAAAAAACAACACAAACAAGCTCGAGGTTCTAACTTGTTCCGCTCATGGGATGAGAGAAGAACAAAGCAAACACAACCAAAAGGACGTAACTGAGTATAATCAGGCGACTGACCGTGCAACCTCTCAAAAGGACTGATATCTTGAAGAACTGATGAGGGTAACTGATTGATAGTATAAATAGCAGTCAAGGCTGCCTCACCTCAGAAACGATCAGGACACATAGCAGAAAGCAGAAGAGCACGAACAGTATCAAGAATGTTATGATGCTTACGTTCAGCTCGTCCATTTTGTTGAAAAGTATAAGAACATGAACGTTGAACTATCGTGCCTTGATCAGAAAGAAATTTTAAAAAGGTAGAATCCTTGTACTCAGGGGCATTGTTAGTACGCAAGACCTTTATAGGACAAGAGAATTGTTTGTGAATCATTCTAGCAAATTGAATATATATGGTGGGCAACTCAGAACGATTTTTGAGAAAATAGATCCAGGTAAAACAAGAAAAATCATCAACAAATATAACAAAGTACCGAAAACCATTCATAGAAGCAACCGGAGAATGACCCCAAATATCAGAATGTACCAAACCAAAAGGTTTATCAGCAGTTGATAATTCTCAGAAAAAGAAAGAGTCGAGTGTTTCCCAAGCTTACAATGAACACAACTAAAAGACTCAAAATGACCTGGATCTAAAAGACCTTTATTATATAAAGAACGAACTTTATTCGAAGACGCATGCCCAAGACGAAGATGCCACTGAAAACTGGACATATTATCGGTGACAGGAGCAGAAATGAGGAAGAACAAGGAATATGAAGAGACTCAAGCTCAAATAACCGGCTCATCTTGCGACTCGTCCCGAGAAGCTGACCCGTCTGTGTATCCTGAACCTGAACACCAGAAGATGAAAATATAACATTAAGACCTTGTTCAACTGATTGACCAATAGAAATTAGATTCAAGGCCAAATCAGGAATGCAATATGTGTCAGGAAGGTGTAAAGAAGGGGAAGAAACCAGACCAGTGTGAGTAATATTCATATAGGTACCATTGGCAGTATGTATAGGAGGTAAAGAAGTTACGGAAGACTAGGAAGACAAAATATGTGGACTAGAGGTCATGTGATTGCAACAGCCAGAATCAAAGTACCAATAAGGGTTACCAGCGGTAGCAGACATAGCAAAATTGGAATGAATAACCTGTTTAAGAATAACTTCTATGTCTTAAAGAGTGTAAGGTGAGTGCTGAGGCTCATTATTCACAGCCGCTGCAACCGAAGAAGGGGTCGATGAAGAAGACCTGCGAGACCCTCGAAATTGAGAAAATGAACCTCCCGAACGTTGTGACTTGGTTGGACAATTTGTAGCAATATACCCCCGAGCATGACAGATGTGGCACTCCACCTTAGAACAAATGGCAAAAGGGTGACTAGAGCTCTTGCAAATCATACAATTAACAGGGACTGGTGGCTGAGGCTGATGCGACGGAGCGGAAGCGGAAGTAGGCACAGCTAATGCAGACTCAAGTTGTGGTGTCCTAGCTAACTGAAGACGAGTTTCTTCAAAAGTGATCTCTTGAATAGCAACATCAAAAGTAGGCATTGGATGGCGGTGTAAGAGAGAAGCACGAACAGCCTCATAATCAGGACGAAGAGCCATCAAAATCTGGATAAGATCAAGGTGATCCGGACTAATCTCAGCCTGTCAGAGACGATACCGGATAGGTTGAACTTGTGAAGAAACTCATTGATAGATTGACACGGTTGCTGCTTGGTGGAATGCAAGGTGCTCCAAAGCTGATAATAGTGAGCCAAACATGAAGTCTGAAATCGAGCAGCCAAAAAATTCCAAGCCTCCTTTGCACTGTAAAACGGGGCAAGCTGCACCTGAATAGCAGGGACTGAAGGATTACGTAACCAAGTAAGAATCTGATGGTTCTTACTATCCTAATCCTCTAACTTATAGACGTAAGCTGTAAGAACTTGTGGTGTGGGGTTGGGATCCCCAGAAAGAGATGGATGCAGAAGTGGCAGCACATCACCAGTCACAATCCGCACAGTTTTCTCCCAATTAAAAAACTCTTCATAAACTGTGCTCAAAGACTATACTTATCCCCTGATAAGACAACACTAATAGGAGAATGCAAATCCCTATGATCCATATCCAACAGATCAACACAATATCACGAAACAAATAAAAATATAGGCACGAATCAGATCACGAAACCGTCAAAATATAAAAAATCAGATGAAATTTAAAACTTCATGAAAACCAAAACCGAGCACACCAGGACGTAGCCAATGATGAGGGGAGTCGACGGCCAAAAAAAGGGCAGAGATCGGAGATAGGGGTAGAGCTTACGCTCCGTCGGAAGCTGCCGGCGCTGCCGGAAAGAAGAGGCGCGTGTGGGGCTCACACGCTGGAAAAACGGGCGGAAAAACGGGCCGAAACTTTCACCACGTGGGCTCGCCGGAGGACGTCGGAGATGATGGTGTAGGAGGTGAGAGTCAACGACGGCCGGATACGAACGAAGAAATACCAAACCTATATTGGACTCTAAACCTAATATGATACAATGTAAGAATGTGAAAAAATATTTGATATATTATTCACAAAGATAAGCACACATATATATAAATACATAGATGAGCCTTAGCCTAAGTTGGACCTAAACCTAGCCTATACATTTTACATAACTAACATTTCTTGGCACCAAGAGTAATTTTGGGCCACACGAATCATTAGTCAAGACCATTTGTTATTTAGCTCAAAGGGATTGAAATATTAAGATTCGACACGTGCATAGAGAAGCGTATTTTCCGGTCGACCACTTGTCGAGCTTGGCGAGCTTTATTCGAAGCCTGACAACCTCTTGTTCGATTGGTTTTCATTTGATGTCTGCTCCTCCCTCCAGTTTGGGAGATTGACTCGAGCATGATGTGATCGAGGTTTTCTAACCCCGTCGAGTTCTAGTTTAACCTTTAGGCCTTCGACCTCCTTTATTGTACAAAAAAAAAAAAAAAAAAAATCACAACTAAGATAATTAAAAAACGTTATTTCAAGTATCTATTTGAATTCAGAATAAAAATAGGTACGAAATAGTGCCTATTTTGACGGTAGACATGGCCACCGGGCCAAATCAGCTCGGACATCAGCTGGTCAGAACCATTGACCAGCCATCCCGGGCCATAACTAGATTTGTGCCCGTGGATTCCACTGGGGCAGTTTCAGTTCAAGCATAAAATCGTTTTACACCCGAGAGGCTTGGCTTCTACTCAAAATCGGTCAGGCCCATTGAATTTGACACTCAAATTTTAAAAATCAAAATGTATAAGATATTTAAACTTTTCTATTTAATTACGGCCATGTCTATTTTCCACTCCTAATTAAGAGTCGTTTGTTTAGGGAGACCAGATTAGATAATTTTATCTAGGTATCCAAGATTCAGGTGTCGAGATATTCTTATATTTACGTTTGTTATGTTTGATTTAATCTGAGAAGATTATCTTAATTATTTCTATCTTCCACCCTTCATGCTCCACAGAGTATTGTGTCAAAATTATACACATAGAAACACATCCTTCACGCTTTTCCCTTAGCATTATTTAGCTTCATTTTTTTTCCTTTTGAGATAAAAAATTAACAATAACGAATGAAAACCTTATTCAACCCACAATTAAAATTTTGATGTTCGACGGAAAAATCAACTTCGAAGCTACAACCCATCCACAACCAAATTCGAAGAACAAATCCAAGTTGTAAATGATTAACAAACAAAGATTAAGCAACGATAAATGGCTTTATCCTATCTCATCCTTCCAAATAAATGAGCTCTAATATTCTAATCATTTATCATTTGAAGCTGCTACAATGCAATGAAAATATGAAACAGCATAACACAAATAACAATATTGGCACAATTGTGTAGAAAAATGGTGCTCCCAATATTGTGCAACAACTTCAAGAAAATTAAAGAAAAAACTTTTATATTACAAACCCACCACGAATGACCTGATTCATCTTAAAACTTGTGGTCCCATAAACAGGCAGCTCTTCTTCATATCCTCCCATGCCGCCCGGCCCGGCCCGCCCGATATTCTCGAGCTCAAAAAGATCCGAGCTGGCACAGCTCATCATGTCATCAAACTCACTCTCTTCCTTGTGATGATGATGATGATAATAATAATTACTCTCTCTAAATTCATGTTTTTTCACGTTTTTCGCGTCGTGAAGCCGAAGGCTATCGATATTTTTCTTAATATACCGACTGCCCACGACCGGCCCGTTTGGCCCGGTCAAATATTCTTCACCGTATAATCCCTTATTATTTTCATCTACTAAGAACCTAACGGACCTAGTAAATTTACTCTTTTTATCATTGATCATCATAATATTGTTGTTGTTGTTGTTATTATTAACATTATTGCTACTACTAATTATACCTCTACTAGAAAATTGGCTCTTGCTCAAGCACGACCTCGACGCAAACTCGTTTACCGATCGCGACTTCGTAACCGAGTTTTTCGGGCCCCTCTCGTCTTCCCGGGCCGGGTTATTTTTCGAAGCTCTCGGGCTGAAAATCGCGTTCAAAAAACTCGAAATCCTCCCGCCGGGCGAGATCGGCTCTTTCGCCTTCTTCAACTCGCCGTAAATCTTGCGCGCGCGGATTTTTGCGATCGTCAGCTTCCCGTCGCGCTTCGGTTGGGCCTCGGTTGTGGGAGGGGTATTTTTGGTATTCCGGGACGATTTTTTCGAGGCGGAGGACGACGTCTCGGTGTCGGTGGGGGAGAACGTGCTCGACCGAGTCGACTCGATGGACGAGCCCGACGAGTTTGACGGCGTCACGTGATGAGTTGGATTTTCGATCCATTTCTCGATCATGATGGCGCGGCGGAGGCTCTCGATTTCCTTCTCGATTTTTTGCGGGCCGTTTTTTCTTTTGTGGAGGTCGAAATCTTGGATGTCGTTTTGCGCGCCGGTCTCGTCTATGGATCGGTAGATGGCGTCGAGGAGGGAGGAGGAGAATGAGGGTTGTTTGCGCCTTGGCTTTTGGGTTAATCTCTCATGATCAACGGCCATTTTTTTTTTTTCTTTAGTTTTGGAAG